ACAGTGAAGATAATTGGCGTCACTTTCATTTTAATGTAAGATATTCAATTTCAATTATAATAATTCACATATTCATGCATTGTTTTATATAGTGATTCAAGAATAGTATATTGTGTCAATGACCCCATTATTTAGACCTATCCAACGTTAAATATTTCATCATTCTACACAACTTGATATATGTCTATAAGTGTAATAAGAATTTGTTTACTTTAAAGTGCTGAATGTTCAGTATAACATAAACGTTTTTTGGCGGAGGGGGATTTATATTATTCAATAGATGAATTTAATAGTCGGTTACTTTGTAATATGACCTCATTAATGTTACATCGGTTAAATTGTTTATTAAAAATAGAGTTTAAACTAACTTTTACTTCACATAATCAAAGTTTATTAATAAGAATAATTTAATAATATGTAAACAGATATGTAAAGAACCATTGCGAAAACTCAATATAGATATAAACTAATTAGCTGGTTCCATTTTGAGGATTCGAAAAAGCAATCATAATAATATTGGTACAGACGTTATTCAATTAATCCATAAAGCTTCTTTTTAATGAATAATATATAAAACCTAATTCAATACATTAAAACGAATGATTAAGCCAAATGAAATGGCATAATTTGTCAATTCGTTTATACCATCTGTATTTTATGATGTATGTAAGTGAGTTCCAAAAGTTATCATGATCTAGTCATCGGAAACATATACTCCACGAACAATAGTGATTTTAGTTAGTACAGGAATTTACTTAAAAACTAGGAGACTAAATCTGTTATTCTGAAACATTATAGTACTTAACTATAAGTAGCCGTTTTAGTTTCTGATGTAGAATTGGCTCAAATTCGGTAGAGAAACGTAGAAAAAACCAGTAGACAACTTATCAATCTTTGATGTAACAAATGTTTAATGAAAGTGTTCAATGACAATAATTTGTCAATTACTGTTGTAATATGTACAAATATGAGAGACAGAGATATTCAGTATGCATAATTAATGATTCTAAAGACATATGAACTCATTTCATCAGCTATCTAGTCGAAAATCCTTTCAAACTTCGTCATGGTATCTTACTATTCTCAACACCAAAGCTTTCATCCCTAAAATAATAGACTTCAATAGATATAAATTTTATGTAGAAAGACTTTGAATTCATTAAGATTTAAGCCAATACTTCTTACTTTGTTTAAAGTATAGTGTAAAGGAAATTGTACGAATGAATTTGTAATGTAATAGTTTCATTTAAAAACATGCAAAACTATATGTGATCAAAATATTCTTAAACAAAGTTTCCTCTTATCAATATCAGTATCATGGATTCATCATGTTGTTTTAGATTGCTATTAAGTCCATGTAATCTAATTCATCTAAATATCAAAATTACATATGGCATTTAACAATATTTACAACTTTGAAGTTGATCATCTGTTATTAAAACCATATATCAGGATAGTCTAATAGAAATTTATAGCATAGAAATCAATTCGAGAATGTTCAATAAGAAGAAACAATTTCGGTAGCCTTTGTAAAAATAATTTCTAGAACAAAAAAACAGGATTTTGATCTAAGATTATTATTATTATTATTATTATTACTAATGACTTTATTCAATACTATATTTTTTGGTACAATATAGAATTCTCAGCACAAAGTATTTTAACAAGTTTCCTTTCCTTATTTCTTCATCTATCCTGATAAAAAATATTGAGTGATCACCAATTAAATGTTAGCAGTTCAGGAATTGACATTTGAATAATAGTCATTCTTTTCAATGCACAATCCTAGCCATCACGATAGCTCCAATTGTAAATTTTTGTAACTTGTACAGCAGAAGGTCGTAAACTTTTCATAAACACGCCTAAATATGTTTTATGTAATTTATAGATAAAATGATGTGTTACAACAAATAAAATACAGGTAACTTGTTGAGATGTGTTTATATCAGGAACAGGTAGCTCAATATTCAAACAGGCCGCCATCATGACGTAATCGGTTAGGCAGTTAATTGCTGGATTAATTTTCTTGATTGATCACATATATTTCGCTGTTCAGTTAAGTAATAGCTGTAAACTAAACACGTAATTTCTAGGTATCATTGTATTGAAGGAGAACATAGGTGAGGACAACCGAATTATATTTAGCATAAAATTACAGTTACTTGGTAAAATAGAAAAACCATACTATAATACTTAATTTGCAAAATGTTCAATAATTGTCTCGAACTTCGTTGTTCTTGCATTTCCATACTAATTGCTTTCTATTTCCGCTCTTCCTTTCTTGATCTTCCCCATCTTCTTCTGCCAGACATTACATTCCCGACGCGCGATATACTACTTATATCAATATAAGTAGCACGTACCACATCATTACCAAGGTTAGACTTGATAATTTCGAATAAATTGAGCATTGGGTAGATTGTTATAATTAAATAAAATATTTGTAATATCTCAATGAGTAGAAAAATTAGATTTATTTATTCTCTGAAGAAGTGGCTTACACTAAGTCACTACACGTCAGGAAATCTAATTTTTCTACTCATTGGGATATTACAAATATATTATTTATTTATAAACATGTAATTCATCGAGTTCCAGGATTTCTCAATAAACAACCAACCGATTACTTTTTACTGTTAAGATAAAATTAATTGACATGTACAAAAGATACGTTTCATGGTTTTCGATGGTTATTTATATATTTATTTGAACACATAAATATTGGTACAAAGGGGCACCGAATATGTAGGCGTCACACAAGTCACTTGATTGGTGTGTGAACTATGATACTGCAAGGGTGCCCAAACCGAAGCAGGTGGTTTTCTTAGGGGGCTACATCTGTAGCCATTGACCTACATGTCCAGTCCACACGGCAGAGGAGCATCGTCAGGAGATGCAGTCCCATGGTAGCCTGTGACCAACAACTGGTTCATACGCCATTCGTGCCTTCAGGATCCTGAAGCCCATGTGCATCATTAGCTTGGAATCAGGATTTTTCAACTCCCCCTAGGTGGATCCTCCATATCCACCAACCGACCCGGTTAAAGCGCCGAATATTTGTTTTTTGTCCTCTCAATTTCGTAAATGACATCCTCGCAGTGAGTAGAACTTCCCTGGTAGTGGTGTATACGCGTGGATATGTGAAAGCATTTCGAGAGGGAGAGCTGACTCTTCCCACCCTCGGCCGTACCAGAGAATTTGGAGGTAATTTAACATCAATCGGTTCACGATCTGAATAAAAAAATTAACGATCTCCACAACTCCTCACTGATAATAAACATCATGTGCTCACTGGTGACTGATTCCAATGTAATTTCCTGATATTCTAGTGAGGAACCGTGACCAGTGAATTTCAATCCGTGTAGGGTAGAGACAGGTATCTACCTCAGACAATGGATGAATGATTGGGCAGCCATTCATGGATCGACGGAAGTTAAACGTCCACACCGTTGAATGTCGGCTCAGTGTTCTAGAGTTTAGGCGCTCGCGTGCGGGACTGAAGGTCTTGGGTTTGAATCATGCGTGCAGAATTTTAGTTTCGTTGACGAATACTACTAAGGTAACATTCTATTTTTAATTAATTAAGCTGAATAAAAAAATAATCAGTTTTTGTTCACTAAGCAACTATCGAACGAAGATGAATTATTTGTCATATAAGATAAAATTTATCTCTCTAATTGAATTATCATCTGATCTATATTCTAATAAACATTCATATGAATCTTAAAACCACATTTGTATCGATTTTGTTGAAAACATTGTAAAACGTCCTTATAAAATAATGTTTGTAATGAATTCCAAGTTTTCAAGCTTCCAAATTGTAGTAATGATATATTGGAACCGTTGTTCTTTCTCATCTTGACCATCAGAACAAATCAAAACTATTTAAAACATGGCTTTGTTTGAACACAAGTTTTCTAGATATTTCTGGGCTTATTTCACTCTCCTATTTAAATAAAATCTTAGTGATTGTAATACTCATATGCTTGTCCTTACGCAGTTTCCACTAAGGTCACTTAATGTTAAATTATTTTGCTGATCCTACTGTACATCACCTCATCCTGCTTAGTGCAATTGATTAGTTAGTTTCGAGCAATTTTTCTAAAATCACTAGTAAAATTATAATACTATTATGTAGCAGTTCTACGCAATTAGTATCACTCAATTATTATTACAAATGATAAATATAATATTAGCATAGAACCTTCAAGAAAATTTTCTTAGCTCTGTTCACACTTCTGGGAAATGTCTGAATGGGAACTTTCATGTGAATAAAACAAGACAGGTAGTTCTTCAGTTAGTACTCATTAGAAATAGAAACTATGTTTAAACCGAACAAGCCATCGAAACCACACTGCTGAATAATGAACAACATTCTCCATTTAGAGAACGTCGATAGACTGTTTAACAATAAATCAAACCAATTTAATCATTAGATATTTTATAAACTATTTTCAAGTTAATGCTTTGAAACTATTTGTTGAAAGTTTCTAGTTGTCCTGAATAGATATGTTACGACTGTATACTGCACAATAGGACGAAACTGTTGTCCATTGCTTCCAAATTTCCAGTAGTTGTCTAACAATAATCGGTTCATGATCTCAATCAAAAACTTAATAATCTCTACAACCGCATACTGATACGACTGATTTATTTAGATCTGATCTTAAAAATGGTTGTTTTTTTCGATGTATTGAGAATCATTTATTTATCATGTAATAACGAACCCTTAAAGTATTACTTTTTCCTTGTTAGATTTAAAAAATAAATCTCTTTGCTCAATTGGAGGTGCGACATTCAAAGTGATTATGTTGAAATTCACTTAGGGCTTATTTATTGTAAAGAACACACACATCCCCCCAATGACAACTTATTCAACCCCCCTTTTTAAATAGAACCATTTATAACTAAACCAATGTAACTAAAACTTTTATTAATGATCACCATAAATGAAATTCTTTTTTTTATTTTTTATAAATCAAAAAGGAAAATCAATTTTTTTCCCAAAGTTCAAATTAGTTTATCTATTCATGACTTATGCAGACAATGAAAGAAAAAAAACATTATCTGCCTGCCAGATTTTACATCGTCATGGAGAATTCGGTCCATTTATTTGGTTATCAATAATACCAATAGCTGGAAAATATACAAAAACAAATATATTTTCTTTATTAAATAACCAAATCAAAATTAATTCAAGTTTAAATAGTACAACGGAACAACATGAGTACTATGTGCGATCAACCGTTATTTATTCTCTGAAGAAGTGCCTTACAATGAGTTACGAAACGTCAGAAAATCTAATTTTTTTCTACTTATTGGGATATTACAAATATATTAAATTATTTATAACAATCAACCCAATGCTCAATTTATTCGAAATTATCAAATCAAACCTTGGTAATGATACCTATTAAAAATTATTATTATTATTACTATTATTATTATTATTATTACTGCACCCCTCCTTTACTTATGTCTCATATTCTCATTATTTTATTCATAAGTGCTCATCATATCACTTTATTTATTTTCTACACTTCTATGATCATTAATGACCTTTAATTATTGTAACAAAAACATTTTAATCATCTTATTACATGCGCGTTATAATTCGTTACTAACGTACTAAGTCTATTGTTATTATTCGTATCACGTAATCTAGTATTACAATCTTTCTATTACGTTATCTTGGATATTCGTGCTCACATTTACTCACGGAATTAATACTTTAACAAAAACATATATATATATATATATATATATATATATATATATATATAGAGAGAGAGAGAGAGAGAGAGAGAGAAAGCCCTTCGCTGAACGGTTGGGAAAGCTCCCGAGAACTACGTCGGGGCCTCCATAGGCCCCAGAGGAGTCAAAAAATTTCATCGAATCAGAACGTAGTGGAGCTTTCTGGAATATCAACGTGCTACTAATGGGCAGTAGCATAATATACCTCCTTGCGGATGGGTTGAATGATAATGTTGATTAAACAAGTGTTAATATCTATAATTACTCATGATTTTCTATGCATTTAGATTCTTGCCCAATAAGCACTTTCTTCAGTCTTCTCCTGTTTTTTTCATATGCAACTTGAGAGGGTTCTAGAGTTCGATTGCTCAAGTTATACTCGTTATATTAAGAATCTAAGCTCTAGACATAACAAACTTCGTGTTTTGTTCTGTTTTTTTAATTTTTAAATATATTTTCATTTAACATTATTTCTTATAAACAACCACAGAAAACTAGAAAGTAAAAGGTAAAACCAAGTTAAGTAATCTACCTGTAGCTATAAGCAAATGTAATTTTTGTTCTAAGTTATCTGTTTTTAATACTGACTCAGTGATAGTTTGATTTTGTCCAGAAGACTGAATAATTAATTGTTGTATTCTCTTTATCGTTTTCATTACACAATCCATATTCTATTTCGTTTTTTAATAAAAAAAAAAGAGAAAAGAATGAAATTATGTGTAGAATTTAATTTTGTTTGTAGGTTACCTCATGAGACTGATCACTTAATTGAGTTGGAATTTGTCTAAAATAAAAACGAAAAAGAAAAATTATTATGATGATAACGAGAATATGAGTTGAAAAATGTTAAACGCATTACATATATACTGTTGATTTTCAATGTAATCATATAATAATTAGGTATATAATTTCAGTGGTTGAGATCATGAGTCAATTGAAGCTAAACCACCATGGAAAACGTGGAAACACTGAACGGCCGTCGTGGATGTGTACTGTTGAGTCCCAGAATAGGACGGAACGGTCGTCCAGTGCTTCCAGGTTTTCCATGGTGGTCTAGCTTCAACTAATTCATGATTTGAACCATTAAAGTTAGAATGTTGTTGGATAAAATATGAAAGAACAGCAAAGGTTTTAATCCAGGTGAATGCTGAAATAGACACATTTATTGGAAGCTCGTATAGCATCGTCAAAACCTGAAACGTGATAGTCAAAATGGTAATATATACAAAATGTTTTAGTCCTATCAATGAACTAGCTTAATAATAAGCTAATACGTGATGGCTGCAGATCAGCTGAAGACCAATTTTTAGCGTGTAAACTAATTAAGGATAGTTGAACAGTAAAAAATTGTAATCTATATGCTCTAAACAGAATTCAAATTTCAGTAGGGAAATCATAATCAATTACGTTTCAATAGATACCACAGAAGTATAGTGATTTAACGAAGTATAATTTTGAACGCAAGGAATGCAATTTTTATATTTTTTATTTTGCATCATAGTATTTGATTGATTATGAAATGGGGTGCTAGTTCTATTCACTAAGTTTTTCTTTTCTTCAAACATATTTTCAGGCTTGATATAGTGAATAGGCTTGCACTGTTATTATTCAGTGTGATAAGTTGCTAAATGGGGTTACTTGATTTTCCTATTTTTCAAGATGCACAATATGAACCGCCTCATAACGTCTTGAACACCACTGTTAAACAGAATCTTACATGTCTGCAACAATTATTCCCTCGACTGTCGCTGCTACCTTGACGTGGTGATCGGGCTTGCCTATCATGATGAACCGATGGAGCTATACTAGTTTAAACAATCGTTTCTCAAGGTCCTACCATGCCAGACAGGTCGGTTGAAGAGCGGCAAGATTAAAAGCAACAAACCCAAGGTTCGAGGGAGAAGTCGTCCTGCTGTGACGACAATAAATTGTTCCCTTCAGACAGTCAGCATAATAGTGATGCTGCCTTCTCACAGGGAAGGGTGGAGTTAAAAATGGTCGGCCCCAAAAATGCACACCTTGATTTAACAAGTACGGAGCTATGACGAAGATAACTCATATAAAAGGTTGTGTGTGACCGACTTCAAGCAGTTGTCCCTTGGGCACTGCGATCACGCTCTCATGTCACTATGATCATCTTTAATCTAATTTTCTCTTCAGGTACCTCCAGAACAACCCTCCCACGGTGTGAGCAACCGGGAAGTGATAACCGCCCTCATATCTCTAACAGCACTCAAGACCACTGTATTCATAATCAACCTCCGTCTTCACTTCCTATCATTCCTCTTACATCGACTTTCAACTCGAAACTTCCTCTTTTGACTTCCTCCTCAGGTGTCACCTTGCCAACGATTCTAGTGCTCGAAACACTGCCCGGGTCTACTGAAACGTCGCTCCAAACTACATATTGGAGCCTTCAACGTACATACCCTATGTCAAATCGACCAGCAGGTCTCCTTGGCTAAAACCGTAGAATCTCGTACCATTGATGTTACTTTGCATTTTTTTCCTGTCAATTTTAAATGTTATAACTCAATGGTTCCACTACGACTAGCTGTAAACGTTCATCAACAGTTTAAAATAATACCGAAAATTACATAACAATCATTTTTACGTGTTCAATCAAAGTTTGTTTGTTTGTTTTTAGAAAAAGAAACAACTAAACAAGTTATAAGATTGAACCATTTCAATGAAAAGTAAAAAAAACCAATGCTCAGCTCACTTTGATAAATCGATATTCAAAAAGATCAGTGAAACTAATAACAGAATCAACTTCATTTTGTTGTTGTCGATTTTATTAGCTCTTCTCAAAACAAAACAAAAATTGTTTTCCTCAGATTGAAATGATATGAAATCTTTTGAACATATAGTAATTAATAAGTGAGTGAAACACTATCAGTTTTTTGAATGGTATCCAATTGAAAAATGGTTATGGTTAGTAAATTGTATAGAATATTTTTAAAAAAATACAAAACACATACAGGTGGATAGAAAAAACAAACTTCATGTTTTCATTTGTAACAATTTGATTGTTATTATTATTACTGTTAAATACTGTCAGAATATTACTGACCCCTATTAACAATCTGTATTTACTAATACTATAACGAACGAGAACATACAAGTGCAGGATAATCGAATGTTTTTGAATACAAAATTACTGGACATCTTAGTTAAAATCTGAGATCCATACAATAAAAATACTTCATTTGAAAAATGTCAATCAATTGCCTAAGACTTTATTGTTCTTTCATTTCCACATCAATTGTACTCTGTCTTCGTTCACTCTTTTTTCGATTTTCTTAACTTTCTACATCCACGTATTTCACTTTCAATTGATGATACATACTACTTCTATTTGTCGATATCAGTAGCACACATCACAATACTATTACTTACGGAAGCTACTGAATAAAATAAATCTATGTGTTGTAATTAGATCAGTTTCATCAGTCAGTTAGTCAGCTACAACGTAGGACCAGGCAAATATATGCATCGGTCCAAGTTGCCATACCTCATTAACACAACAAGATAAACACCGGATTCATAAAAGTAGTTTCATACAAACTGATGAGATGACTTGAAATGTTTTTTTCTACTTAGACAAACGCTTTATGTCTATGTTTGTTATATAGGAAGATCGAAACTATGGTTCACTTATTTGTTATTTTGTATAATTGTGATCGTGAATATATTGTGTAAAAATGAATCATACGCTTTTTAATACTTATTTATTATACAAGACAATTAAGATGGATCGTTATTATAATGATTCATCGTTTTGGTTTTCTTTATAAAACGATTGATTATGATTTAAATGCTGCCTTCCGGTTTATTAGTTGTCTTTGTTGAATTTAATGAATTGAAAGTAACATTTAAAGACAAATGTTAAATCTTAAGATTTAATTCGAAATAAACATCATGCAAAAATGAAAGAAGCGTAAAAGCTAAGTATTTTCTGTAAGTCTTGGCACTATGTAGTAACTAATAAATAATGATAGTCTGATTTAATGAATTATCATTACTGCCTGAAGAAAAAGAGAACACTAATTTGTTCAGTTGCTTACTTAGTGGATAGAATAATGATAAATTGTATTCGTAAAGTATATCATAATAAACACCTTTAGGGTTATTTCTGAAGATCAACGAATAATCGTTGACTTATTCTAAGTAAATTCAGTTGTAAGATAGTAACTCACTTAAGACAATGGTGGATGTGTCCCTCAATTTCATGGATTAGTTGGAGTTAGATGTAGTGTCAGTTATTATATTATGCCCTTATACCTTATTCCAGCTTTCGGACAGGCCAATCTATTCATTCTACTTGAGCCATATTTTGACATTGTTAATTATTCGCTTATCAATCTTGACTGTTTTTATATGAGCGTATATGGGTGTACACTTCTTATCCTATTTATCACATGTCGGTAGCCTATTATTGTATGATTATGAATATTGATTAACGCTCGGTTAAATGGAGTTGGCTTACCCGCCATTTCCACTGCGTGTCGTTTCGCTTCGCTTTATTCCATTCACTTCATATACAAAATATAAGTAGTCAAAAGTTCATTCTCGTTATTTGACCTATTTAATTACGTTATTGACTAACGCGACTTAGGTCGATGATTATATACGAGGATAGGCGACATATACATTTCTACAGCAATCAATCAATTACAATCATTCATACGATTTACTTCGAGTCAGATCTCGGGCCACTCAAGTGGAAAGCTCGTCGACATCATTGTCTGATCTAAATGACGACAAAATAAAGGACCCCAGAAAATAGACATTACCACAATCGGATGTCGGTCCAGTGGTCTAGAGGTTAGGCGTTCGCGCGCGGGACCAATAGGTCCTGGGTTCGAATCTCACCAGGCTGGATCATGGATGAGCACTGATGAGGAGTCCTGTAGTGGGACGAAACGGCCGTTCAGGTTTTCCCTGGTGGTCCAGTTTCAATTGACTCATGATCTGAACTGTTGAAATAAATACTTAAAAAACTATCATGTACCCGAAGTTTAATTTATTGCAAAATATTCCAAAATCCTAATCAACTCTGGTCTCAAGAAAGTACTTTCTGAACCCTGATTATTTCAATAATTTCACATTCGGTTCGTTTAGCTCTCATGGTTTACATGATAAATGGAATTTTCATTCATAAATTGACTCAAAAATAAATTTCTAGATACCCGAATATAACTAAACCCATTTTTGTTATGCTATGTTAATTATTTAATTTTATAATCAGAGAGTGGTTTTACGGATATTATAGTAGTTTGATAAATAAATTCATGAGACAATTAAAGCTAGATCACCACGGTAAATCTGCAAGCACTGGACGGACGTTTCGTCCTATTGTGGGACTCCTCAGCAGTACCTATCCACGATCCCGGCTCGCGAGATTTGAAATCAAAACATGTCGGGCTCATGCGCTAACGCTTCACCTCTAGACCAATTGTTCGGCATCCAAAGGTGTTAATGTCTAACTTCAACCAATCCACGAAATTGCGCCATCATCCACCATTGCATTCAGTGTTATCCAGGTTTTCCATGATGGTCAGCTTCAAATGACTCATTAATTTCAACTATTAAATTTAACTTTATGTACAAATTCACTTATTTTAAGAAAGTTATTCACAGTTGATCCAGTGGTTACAGATATTCATTATTGGG